CGAGTGACCAAAGAGATTGAAGTGTTCTCTGTCTGGTTTTTGAATGTTATAGTTCTTGACGTTTGATTTGTGTCCATTTATTCTTGTCCAGTTTGGCCAATGTACCTGATCACTCTTGTGACAGTGTGTATGGTAATACCCATTGTTTCATGTTCTCTGTGTATGTAAATCTCCCCACTGTATTTTCCACTGCATGTATCCAATGAAGTGAGCTGTAGCTCACGAAAGCTTATGCTCAAATAAATTTGTTGGTCTCTAAGTTGCCACAAGTATTCCTTTTCTTTTTGTGGATACAGACTAACACGGCTGCTACTCTGAAACCTTTCACAGACTAGACTCTTTCCTAGTCTGGGCCCAATCCTTTCCCCTGGTACAGTCCTTGTTATTTCTGGCAGACATCTTAGGTGGTAAGCAGAGGTGTTCTCATGACTTACAGCCCTTTCTGTCCTGCTCCACCCCTTTTTATAGCTTTGGCACATCTTTTATCTCTCTGGATCCCCACCCCTCCTTCTAAATGGAAAAGTACCAAATTTAAGATGGATTTAATTATCAGGTGACATGGACACATGTCACTGTAAGACCCCAGCCTCCATTCTTCTTGGGCTGGCCCACACGTACACAGGAAGGTTTGCAAGTAAACAGAGCCAGTTACAGTTCATTGATTCTGAAGTACCCTTAATGGCTTCTACTCAATATGTTTACATCAGTAATACAAGTTTAATATCTTATTCTCCTAACTTCAGAAATAGAAATAATACATGCAAACAAATGGGATGAACACACCCAGTACATTATAAGTTTTGTAATGATACCTTACAAGAGACCTTTTGCATAAAGCATATTCCAGTTACATCATATTCACATGTATGGAGTGCAATGTCAAAGTGGTTGGGCAACAAACAAAGGCGTGCTGGAGAAAATGAGGAAACCACGTATAGCTGGTTGGAGAACTTTCCAGGAGGTTTGGGGATGGATAAGGGGGCTTAGTGCAGTTGGGTCACTAACAGGAAGGGTAAATCAGGCATTAGCAGTTGATGATTGTGGAATTGAAGACCTATGATTTAGTTAGTACAATTCTCAGTGCTCAAAGGGTTAAATGGAAAATGTCCAAGAGAAAGCTTCCAAGCTATTAAATCATAAACGGCTAGCACATCCTGTAAACTGTAACGACATTAGAGAGGGGAACATCTGCTAAGAAAGAGCTCGTGAGAGTAGCAAACACACTGCGTGTGGAGGGGAGATAGGAGGGCGGAATGGAGAAGGTCAAAAGGAGGTAACTAATAACGTAACAGGCACTAGATACAGGGAGCTGGAGCGGATAACACCCAAGGACCTTTCCTGCCCCAATAGTGATGATATTCAGCCATTCACTATGAGGTTTGTTTTTTTAAAATTAAGTTAGAAGTAAATGTCATGTGCGTGATTCATCAGTGCCATGTAGCTAAGTCAGGGTACGTCTATAAAGCCCACAGCAGCAAGGCTCAGAGCCTGGGTCGACGGACTTCAGCAACAACTAGCTGTAGAGACATAGCAGCTCGAGCTGGAGCCCACCCCCCTCCATAGGCTTGAGAGTCAGAGCTCCTGCCTGAGCCACAATATCTGGGCAGCTATTTTCTGTCAACCCAGGCTCTGAGACTTGCTGCCGCTCGCTGGGTAGACGTACCTCAGTGGCCACTGTAAAGGGACCATTCTAGGGTCATGCATATTTATCCATCCATTGCCGTTTTCGGCTCCACACATATCCAGACTAATCAGCACCCCCCCACCCCAACCTTCTAAAATAGCCTTTCTCTAGGGTAGAGGAGGGCAAACTACAGCCCGTGGGCCACATCCGGCCCGTGGGACTGTCCTGCCTGGCCCTTGAGCTCCCAGCTGGGGAGGCTAGCCCCCGGCCCCTCCCCTGCTGTCCCCCCTCCCCCACAGCCTCAGCTCGCTACGCTGCCAGCATTCTGGGCAGTGGGGCTGCGAGCTCCTGCCAGGCAGCGTGGCGGTGTGGCTGGCTCTGGCGGGTGGCGCGGCTGCCAGTCCTGCTGCTCTGAGCAGCATGGTAAGGGAGCGGAGAGTTGGGGGGGGGTTGGATAAGGGGCAGAGGATCCTGTGGGGGCATCAGGGGTTGGGGAACAGGCGGGGTTGGTTAGGCGTGGGAGTCCCGGGGAACCTGTCAGTGGGCAGGGGTGTGGACAGGGGTTGGGGCAGCCAGGGGACAGGGAGCAGGGGGGTTTGGATAGGGGGTGGGGTCCTGGGGGGGCAGTTAGGTGTGGGAGGGTCCCGGGAGGGGGCAGTCAGCGGACAAGGAGCTGGATGGGTCAGAGGTTCTGAGGGGGGCAGTCAGGGGGCGGGAAGTGGGAGGGGGCAAATAGGGTGTGGGGGCCAGGCTGTTTGGGGAAGCCTGGCCCTCCATACAGTTTTGGAGCCCTGATGTGGCTCTCAGGCCAAAAAGTTTCCCCACCCTTGCTCTAGAGGCATGTTTTCAACTCCTTTGAAGTCAATGACAGAAAATATCATATTGCCTTTATATAAATCCATGGTACACCCACATCTTGAATATTGCATGCAGATGTGGTTACCCCATCTCAAAAAAGATATATTGAAATTGGAAAAGGTTCAATAAAGGGCAACAAAATGATTAGCGGTATGGAACAGCTTCCATATGAGGAGAGATTAATAAGATTAGGACTTTTCAGCTTGGAAAAGAGATGACTAAGGGGGGATATGATTGAAGTCTATAAAATCATGACTGATGTGGAGAAAGTAAATAAGGAAGTGTTATTTACTCCTTCTCATAACATAAAAACTAGGGATCATCAAATGAAACTAATAGGCAGCAGGTTTAAAACAAACAAAAGGAAATATTGCTTCACACAACGCACAGTCAGTCTCTGGAACTCTTTGCCAGAGGTTGATGTGAAGGCCAAGACTGTAACAGGGGTCAAAAAAAAACTAGCTAAGTTCATGGAGGATAGGTCCATCAATGGCTACTAGCCAGGAGGGGCATGGATGGTGTCCCTAGCCTCTGTTTGCCAGAAGCTGGGAGTCGGTGACAGGGGATGGATCACTTGATGATTACCTGTTCTGTTCATTCCCTCTTGGGTACCTGCCATTGGCCGCTGTCAGAAGACAGGATAGTGGGCTAGATGGACCTTTGGACTGACCCAGTATGGCCGCTCGCAAATACTCACCAACAACCACATACCACACAACAGAACCACTAACCCAGGAACTTATCCTTGCAACAAAGCCCGTTGCCAATTGTGCCCACATATCTATTCAGGGGACACCATCACAGGGCCTAATAACATCAGCCACACTATCAGAGGCTCCTTCACCTGCACATCCACCAATGTGATATATGCCATCATGTGCCAGCAATGCCCCTCTGCCATGTACATTGGTCAAACTGGACAGTCTCTACGTAAAAGAATAAATGGACACAAATCAGATGTCAAGAATTATAACATTCATAAACCAGTCGGAGAACACTTCAATCTCTCTGGTCACGCAATCACAGACATGAAGGTCGCTATCTTAAAACAAAAAAACTTCAAATCCAGACTCCAGCGAGAAACTGCTGAATTGGAATTCATTTGCAAATTGGATACTATTACTTTAGGCTTAAATAGAGACTGGGAGTGGCTAAGTCATTATGCAAGGTAGCCTGTTTCCTCTTGTTTTTTCCTACCCCCCTTCCCCCAGATATTCTGGTTTAACTTGGATTTAAACTTGGAGAGTGGTCAGTTTAGATGAGCTATTACCAGCAGGAGAGTGAGTTTGTGTGTGTATGGGGGTGGGGGGGGAAGTGAGAAAACCTGGATCTATGCAGGAAATAGCCCGACTTGATTATGTAAAGAGTTGTCACTTTGGATGGGCTAGCACCAGCAGGAGAGTGAATTTGTGTGGGGGGGTGGAGGGTGAGAAAACCTGGATTTGTGCTGGAAATGGCCCACCTGTTGATCACTTTAGATAAGCTATTACCAGCAGGACAGTGGGGTGGGAGGAGGTATTGTTTCATATTCTCTGTGTGTATATAAAGTCTGCTGCAGTTTCCACGGTACACATCTGATGAAGTGAGCTGTGGCTCACGAAAGCTCATGCTCAAATAAATTGGTTAGTCTCTAAGGTGCCACAAGTACTCCTTTTCTTTTTGCGAATACAGACTAACACGGCTGTTCCTCTGAAACCTGTCTTAAGTTCAATGGGACTCTTTTCATTGACTTCAATGCGCTTTGGATGAGGCCCAAAGTTAGGAGTTTTTGTGTGTTACACAGTAAGTTACTAATATCAGTGACTAGACATTTCTGCCTTGGCATTTACTGTAACATATAAAATCATTTAATTCCCAATAGATTGTGGCAATTCCTTCTCTCTTGTGCAGGGCCTGCCCTTCTTTACTGTAGTGAAGGAAAGACTTTCACCAGCAGGTGTATTCCTGGAAAACCTACTGACCAGGGGTTGTTATTGCTGGTAATAGAGGGTGGGGCAAAAGTAGGAGGGGAGTGTCGATAGGATAAAAGGATGGGGAAATCTGAAAACAGCCTCCTAGATTATCGTTCTGTGGCACGATAGGATTGCTAGTGATTGACAGAAACTGACTATCCAACCAGACCAGCTTAAAGACCTCATCAGATATCAATCCAAGTGGCACTCAGCCTGAGAGGGGGCCACGACATTTTGGGATTTTCCAGGATGATGATGATGAATTAACAAAATAAATCCCTGAGGAGAAATTCTAGCAGCAGGTGGTTTACATTGCTTCAGGTTTAGGTTTCAGATAACACAGATGATACTACAGAAATTAAAGCCTGAAGTTCAAGGTCACAGGGGATTAAAAAGCAGGTGCCAGGCATCTAAAGAAAAGGGTATTTCCAGGTTAGACTCCACCTGCCAGACACAAGTATATCTATTGTAGTACTGTAATAAAGTTTTGTTGAAAAGATCAATACAATTTCTAAATGCAGCTGTTGCAGCCTTAAATCCAATTTCAAGCTGACTTTCTCCTTCAGATAATGGGGGAAACACAGTCATCTGTTTACTAAGGGCCTGATTCAAAGCTCATGAATGGGAATCTTTCCCTTGACTGCAGTGGACCCCTAAATACAACACTTAAAAATGGAATTTCAGTCATGGGCAGGGGGTCTGAAGCTCTCGTGTTGGGGCAGGTATGTGGATATAAGTTTCTAATAATTCTTAGCACATATGTAGGGCCAGAGTCTGGGACTATTACACTGGCTCATCTGGAGGGGGAAGTGTGGAGTTACGCTGCTTTGGGACACACACACTCCCAGTATGCAAGGGGAACCCACATACACTCTGCCCCCACCCCTTAGGACCCTGTGAATCCATCCCACCTCACAGATAAGTGCATTGGGGAATAAAGCCATGGTCATGCTTCTCCCCACCCCTTTTGGTGTCATTTCTGCTTTTCGGGGGGTAGGAGAGGAGAGAACAATTCTTGTGTTTCTCCAACACAGGAATCCCTGGGGAGGGTCTGAGGTGGGTACGGGAATGGCATGAAGGATGCCATTAAACATTACTGATTCTCACAACACTTCTGAGTTAGGTAGGGAAATTATCCCTCGATTTCACCTCTGTCTCAGTGACTTAACTCAGGGGGTGTCAGTTTTAGTTGGAATTAGATCCCGGGGTTCCTGGCCTCTAATCCAGTGCTCAGACCACTGGTAACCTTTGGGGACAATTACTAGTTATTGCTGCTGCAAAACAAAATTTCCCCAGGAGGTCGTCAGATCCCCGGCAGCTCCACAATTCCTCTCCTCCCCTTTCTCCAACATCCTTCACAGCCCCGAATGTCCTATGTTGCATTAAGACACTCCTAGACAGGAGAGCTACATGCAGCTCCTACCACAGACTCTCCTTGGGTCAGCCATAGGACAAATACGACCTTAGATCTTGCCGTGCCATATGCTAACTGTGCAGCCTTCGCATTCTCCTACGGGAGGGATTCGTCTGGAACTGAAGGTCACTTGTAGTGATTGCATTGATCCCGTCATTACCATGCGTGTTGCTGATTTTTACTGTATGTTTCCACAGGGTCCTGCTGGCATTGTACCAAAACGTTACCTGCTAGTGCAGGCCTCCTTGGCAGGATGAGTTACAGAATGATGAGCCAGTGCCTGAGTATGTATAAATTCCTTCCAGTACTGAAACATATCTCAGAATAGTATTAGTTGGACACTGAAATGTGCGTCAATCTCTGTTTTAAGCCCTTTTTGTAACCCCTGTGTTCTGGAGCAGCCAGGACCTGTCTGACCCCTTGTGTAATCTAGATCAACCTCAGGGCTGCTCCAACTTATGCTCTGCTTCCCATGGCCCACAAGGCCTTAGCAAGCTAAAAATAGCAGCAGTGCATGGCAGTTATGGTGCTTTTCAATCCCAACAGTAGTAGCGTTGATGTGGTAGGACAGGCTTCAGCATGTACTAGCAACATGAATATACACCTCAGCTTGTACTCAGGCAGCTAATATGTGCCCCCATGTCTTCACTACCATTGTTACCCGTGTTACCTACATTAAAGCTAGCACTGGTATTTGTAGAGTCCATGGCCAGAAGGGACCATTCTGCTCATCTAGTCTGATCTTCAATGTAACACAGGCCAGAGAACTGCCCCAAAATAATTCCTAGAGCAGAGCTTTTAGAAAAACATCATCCAATTTTGATTTTAAAATTGCCACTGATGGAGAATCCACCACAACCATTGGTTGGTACATTGTTCCAAGGGTTAAATTACCTCACAGTTAAAAAATTATACTGTATTTCCAATCTGAATTCGTCTAGCTTCAACTTCCAACCATTGGATTGTGTTAGACCTTTCTCTGCTAGATTGAAGAGCCCATGATCAAATATTTTTCCCATGTAGCTGCCTATAGATATGATCAAGCCCCCCCCCCCCCCCCTTAACCTCCTCTATAAGTTAACTAGATTGAGCTCCTTGAGCCTATCACTATGAGGCAAGATTTCTAATGCCTATCTGTGCTACAATTGCACCCTCATATTGCAGTGCAGATATAAGCAGAGCCCTTACTCCAGCTCTTCTCTTAGTGATCAATGGCTCCATGTCTAGTTGGCAGCCGGTATCAAGTGGAGTGCCCCAAGGGTCGGTCCTCAGGCTGGTTTTGTTCAATATCTTCATAAATGATCTGGAGGATGGTGTGGATTGCACCCTCAGCAAGTTTGCAGATGACACTAAACTGGGAGGAGAGGTAGATACGCTGGAGGGTCGGGATAGGATACAGAGGGACCTAGACAAATTAGAGGATTGGGCCAAAAGAAATCTGATGAGGTTCAACAAGGACAAGTGCAGAGTTCTGCACTTAGGATGGAAGAATCCCATGCACCGCTACAGACTAGGGACCAAATGGCTAGGCAGCAGTTCTGCAGAAAAGGACCTAGGGGTTACAGTGGACGAGAAGCTGGATATGAGTCAACAGTATGCCCTTGTTGCCAAGAAGGCCAATGGCATTTTGGGATGTATAAGTAGGGGCATTGCCAGCAGATCAAGGGACGTGATCATTCCCCTCCATTCGACATTGGTGAGGCCTCATCCGGAGTACTGTGTCCAGTTTTGGGCCCCACACTACAAGAAGGATGTGGAAAAATTGGAAAACGTCCAGCGGAGGGCAACAAAAACGATTAGGGGACTGGAACACATGACTTATGAGGAGAGGCTGAGGGAACTGGGATTGTTTAGTCTGCGGAAGAGAAGAATGAGGGGGGATTTGATAGCTGGTTTCAACTACCTGAAAGGGGGTTCCAAAGAGGATGGCTCTAGACTGTTCTCAGTGATAGCAGATGACAGAACAAGGAGTAATGGTCTCAAGTTGCAGTAGGGGAGGTTTAGGTTGGATATTAGGAAAAACTTTTTCACTAGGAGGGTGGTGAAACACTGGAATGGGTTACCTCGGGAGGTGGTGGAATCTCCTTCCTTAGAAGTTTTTAAGGTTAGGCTTGACAAAGCCCTGGCTGGGATGATTTAATTGGGGATTGGTCCTGCTTGAGCAGGGGGTTAGACTAGATGACTTCCAACCCTGATATTCTGTGATTCTCTGATTCTTTGGCTGTGGAGATCCTCTGCATGAAGAGTATCCTCAGGGACTCATTTCCACCCCATTTAAGGCCACCTTATGTTGCCAGAACAGCACAAATTAACCTACGTGTGAGTGAGAATCAGTACCTGCTGGTGCAGCCTCTGTAAGCATTACATTATCTGCAATAGCTCAAGCCCAGCCTTTGGCATTCCACTCTGTTTTACTGACCGATAACATTGTTGAGACTTAGCTGGGTATTAAGAACATAAGAACGGCCACACTGGGTCAGACCAATGATCCATCTAGCCCAGTATCCTGTCTTCTGTCAGTGGCCAATGCACCACTGGAATTGTAGGTGAATAATTACCACCACTTACTTTGGGACCCCAAATTTTGGCTCTCAGGGTGCATTTTGACCCAAGGCCAGCCCCGAGTGCCCGCGAAAAGTGCTGGGTGAAGAGTACATGAGAGAGAAGTCCTCAGTTTGCTCAGTGAGGGCCTTATTCACTAGTGCTTTCTGGCCTGAAAACTGGCCACAAAGCAGCTGACCAGCTGAGTCCTCTCCCCACTATCCATTCTGGTAAGGGGCCTGGCTGCCAGGCGCAGAGGTAGCTTTATTAACTCTCCACTTCCTTTGGTGGAGCTCCCAGAAGAATGAGTGAGAGGAGGTGTGGCCGCAGCATCCCTATGCCATGGCTAGTTCCAGCTTGTAGTCAGTCCCATGGTAGACAGGATACAAGTTAGGGTATCCCTCAGAGCTGCTCTAAGCTACCCTGAGAGTTGAACTGGCCCCTCGAAATGAGGCCTACAATGAGCATAGAATGGGGAACAGCAGCAATGAAAACTTTCTATGTTAGCCCTTTCCAACATGCCCCAACCCTGTCAGGATGCACCACTTCTATGCCTGTTCCATTCTTGGCCACCCTTCTGAGGCTGCCAGCCTCAGAGATGAAGTGGCTGAGTGGTAAAGGCAATGGACTGCTAATCCCCTGTTCTCTGCATGTATGGGGCTGAATCTTCTGCTTTACCACTGGAACAACTTACCAAGGGCTGCGGGAGATTCGCCAGGACTGGCAATTTTCAAATCAAGACTGGGTGTCTTTTTCTAAAAATAGATGCTCTAGTTCAACCAGGAATTATTTCAGAGAAGTCCTGGGCCCTGTGCTATACCCCAGGCCAGCCGATATGATTGTAGTGACCCGCTCTGGCCTAGCAATCTATGGAGCAAGAGTGCCCATTGCAAATGGCGATGGGCCCAGGCTACACAGGTTCAGATACAGGTTCAGATTTCAGCTCCCTCCCCTGCCCACAGCACCAGAGTCCAGGGACGTCTGACTTTGGGATTCTGGCTCAAGCCTCTCTAAGGATATGTTGACACTTACCGTGGTGTGTAGAGTACATTCACTGCACACACCCCTAGTACAGGTGTAAATAACTGTGTAGATGGTTAGGCACTGCTTAGGCAAGCGGAGAAGAGATCCAGTGAGTAGGTACCCTGCATGTCTCTGCATACCCAAGCCATGCCTCCCCCATCTATGCTGCAGTGTCCCCCACGTGTTCACCGCCAGAGCCTTTCGCCCACTGCAGAGAGCTGCCAGAACCTTTCCCTGGTGCCTCCCCTCTGCCAGAGCCTTTCACTGCCACATGTAGCTATACACCGCAGCATGAATGCAGCCTGCTTTTCACTGTGGCATGTTGCTACACATACCCTACATGCCACCAGCATAGATGAGGTGATTCAGCCACCTGTCCAGTAGGAAATGCACAGAGAGCACCAACTGCTTAAACATATGCCAACGAACCACCATCAGAAAGGTTAATGTTTCATCACAGCCTTTCTGGTCCAGAGACACATTAACGTCCCTGATGAACAGGTCCCCATTACCATTCCCCTGTCCTAGATCCCCAAATGAACATTTTTTTTGTAGATCTGGGATAAATACTGCATAATACTGTCTAGCCTGACTCTTCCTAGCTTCCCTTTCTCTCTAGCGCTGCTGCTGGTTTTCCGTTGGGCTCTAAAAACAGCAGAAGCCCAAGAACATAGAACCGTTGGTGTGGGGTCTTCAGTGCTGCTGACTGCATTGCCCACTGATGATCAAACAGTCATAGACCATATACAGTGGGAATACATAAATAGCACAGTTTCCGATATTGTGGATTACTATAGAACTGGAAGCAAACCTACGATCTATAAAGCATATGAAGAGAGAATCATTTTCTATTCCAACGGCTCCCTCTTGTTGAAAAACGTACAAGAGACAGACAGCGGGACCTACAGAGCTACCATCAATTTGAACAAAATTGAAGCCAGGGAAACTACACTGCTCGTCTTAGGTAAGTGAAAGAGCAGAAGTATTTATAAAACAGCACATTAAAACAACTGGCAGCACACAAATTTTTTGCACTGGATAGATCACTAATGTGAACAGAGGCTGTGCGTGTGCATGTTTCAAGGAAGCAGCTGCACAACCTGTTGAGCACATAAAACAGCCCTGAAGTCATTTATAAAACATTTACCCCTGTAAATCTGGACAAGAATCCATTACGTTTGACAAGGGGGAGGAAACTTCTAAAAAATGAAAAATAAGCTGGATATCAGAGGGAAAAAAGTTTTATTATGAGATCTGTTCACTCTATTTAGTCAATTCTGCCTTTACAGGCAAAATGCCAACTCTCATATCACTACCATTATTTTCTTGGAGGTCTCGCATCAAAGCCATCCTGACTTGACCCTGATTAACTTATGAAAGCACAACTCAAGATGGTGTGGCTGAAGAACAGAGAGACTCTGGTTCTAGCCACACTACACGTGTGCATCTTGACCTGAGCAAGAAATACCAATTTTGATTTCACTGAGTTGCACATTAAGGTTCTGTGACATATAGTCATAACGTCCTTTATTTTTGTATATGACACTGAGAAATAGTCTTCTAAAAGTGGTGGAGATGCCATCTCTGGTAAACTATATAACTAGACTGGAGAACGTACTGAAATATATTGCAGGGAATAGCCCTCCACAGGTCCCTAAGAATTGACTGACAAGGTTATTTATGATTCTATAAGGACCATATCATTTGAGAACAAGAAATTTCTAAGTGGGTTCGAGCAAAGGAGCAAGGAGACAAACAAAAATTAATAAGGTTGAAAGACAATGGTGTTAAAAAAACAACAACCCTCAAGACTCCTTATATCAGAACTCTTGTACTGAGGATTACCTAGGCTATGAAAGTTTAGACGTGAGCTGCTAGAATTTGGCTTTTGACGTCTACCGAGCTATTAATCAATCCTACATCACTGGATGTTAGATGTATTCCTAAAACTTGGGAAATCATCTTCTATCATATAGATAAGCAGATTTAATTGTTTGATTTAGATGCCTAACTTTAGATACCCGAGTTTGTACATTTCAACCAGGACTTTTAAATGTGTATATAATCTCTCTTTCCCCCCCCTCCCAAGAGCCTATCTCCAAAACTCAGCTACAGATAAATTCTACTGTGGCCGGTTCATCTATTGAATTATCCTGCAAGGTGCTGGTTGGCAAAGTGCAAGCTATTTATTGGAAGAAAGATGGGAAGCCCCTACCCAGGAACAGATGTTACTGGTTCTCTGAAAACTTCAGTCTTTTGTACATACCAGAAGCACAGAAATCAGATTGTGGATCCTTTTCTTGTAATGTCAGCAGTGATATAAACTGGCAGGAAACCTCAGTGAATTTGACCATTGAAGGTAAGTGTTGTATTAGCATCTTCGACTGCAAACACTTGCCATGGCTAGTGCCAAACTTGATGCTTAGTGGTGCCACATGTTACCCTCTTCAGGTTGCAGATTAGATTAATGAAATGCTAATCTCTCATATTCTTCTCCCCCTTTCAGAGTTCCTAGGCTTAATTCTATTAACCATCCATGCAAATAACACAACCTTAGAAAGTAAAATTGCATAGAGTGATGTTAGAAGATCCTCTTTGGATAACGTTACAAGTCTTTTGCTATGTGGTAGCAACAATGCATACAGAAGGCCCGACTCACTGCTGCAGGATGCCAGTTTTGAAACAGCATGTAACTCCTCTGAAATCAATGAGTTACCTCAACACAAAACTGGAGCAATGCAATGGTGAATCAGGCCCAGCGAAACGTACATGTTGATGCTTCCTGACTTATGCAAGGGCTCATACAGACAGTCCTAGGAAGGATGAAAGTCTGAGACATGTAATTGATTTAATCTTCACACCTGTTGTGGAGCCCTGCACTTGGCATCTTTAAGAGCTTCCAACGTTTGCATGAGACATCCAGCTCTATTTTCTACAATACCTCATATTGTTTTCCAAAGCGTTACATACATTTAAAACTTATGGTTGAAATTTACAAGTTTGGGTACCCAAAGTGAGGCACCTAGGTTTAGATTCACAAACGGATGAGGTGTTGTAACGCTCAGCGTCACAAAGGATAACTTTTAGACCCCTAGTGAAATCACAGGAACAAAACACCGGGACACACACAGGCTGCATTAGGCACCTCATCTCCCTATACAATGGATGGGGAGAGATGTGCACTCAAGAATCCAGTTCACAAAAGCCAGCACAGTAGGTGGGGAGCCACCAAAGCTAGCCAATGGAATATGCCAACAAGAGGAGGCTCCTCCTCCTCTCTCCCCTCTCACAGACATAAGCACCTGAGTCCAGGCTACAGGGAGGTACCAAGCCCTGCTTGTGATTCCCAGCTGGGAACTCCTCTCCTGGACTTATTGGAGTCAGGGGAGTGGATCCTGGGTCTGCCACCTCTAACCATCAGGCTCCAGAGTTAGTCATTCTCACTCTCTCTGGTCCAGTGACTCTGTCTAATCACAGTGGAACAGTTTCAACAGGAGAGAATGACAGAGCCCCACATCAGAACATCCCGTAGCTCAATGGTTCGAGCACTCAGAGGTGGGAGATCCCTGTTCAAATTCTCTCTCTGCCTGATGGGGGGATTGAACCTAGGTCTCCCACATCCCAGATGTGTGTTCTAACCATTGGGCTAAAAGTTACAAGCTGAGTAGCACTACCTCTTCCTTCAGACAGATTTTGAACAGAACCCAATCTGGTAGGCAGCCTCAGAGCATGCCTACATGATTGGGCCCCACAGGTGAGTTAGGTGGGCAAACATCTAACTTCCCTGGCTCATGAATCCCACTGGATTTGTGGTGGAAGACAGGCACCTCGACGACTAGGAGGCGGCACCCATGCATGTTCCCAGAGGCAGAAACTTAGGCATCCAGGATACTTTGACCATGAAAATGTAGGTGCCAAGTGAATATAAGTGTCTACAGGGTTCAGTGGGAGTTTTGTGGGCAGTAAGGGAGCCTAAAAATAGGACTTAGGCCCCTAAATCTGGGATTTAGTAAACTAATACCTTTGTGAATCTAGGCCCTAAATCCATATCTAAACACCTAAATCAAGTGATTGATTGTCAGCATGGGTGCCAGGTTTGTATAATTTTTGGTGGTGCCCAGAATGGGTCCAAGCAGAGCCGTCCTGTTCATAGGACAGACCAGAGCAACCGCCCCGGGCACCGCACTTTGGGGGGCTCCATGCTTCAGGGGAATGTGGGGGTCCAGGGCAGCCTGAAGGGTTAGCACGGGGCCTGGCGCCACACTCATTACCACTTCAAAAATTATTTTTCCTCTCTTGGTATCCTGCTGTTAATTGATTTATCTCGTTAGACTGCCCTCACACTTGCTAAGGCAACCCCCACCCTTTCATGTATTTATATGTGCTCCTATATTTTCCACTCCATGCATCTGATGAAGTGGGTTCTAGCCCACGAAAGCTTATGCCCAAATAAATGTGTTAGTCTCTAAGGTGCCACAAGGACTCCTCGTTGTTTTTGCTGATACAGACTAACACAGCTACCACTCTGTTACTTTTCATTGTATCTCAAATCCGGGCTAGAAGATTCACCCCCATTTTAGTCTTTGGGACACTGAACTGAACTGCAGATAAAAAGGAAATTGTACTTATGTAACTCACACACCTTCTGGGTGTGGTGTTCTGTCCCATCTAGTGGCACCAAGACCACTTACAGAAAGATTAATGAGTCTGCTTTACAGTCTTGGTTAACAGCCGTATGGCTTTTAGCTCATGCAGTAGAGGCTCATGCCCTAAACTCCAGAAGTCCCAGGTTCAGTCCTGCCTGCTCACAACCAGGGTCTATCAGTGTTATACTTGCACTGTCCTTCAAGCAGAAAGAAAGAGCAGGGAAAACAGAACAGCTTTCAGTCCTCCTGAGCCCCTTCTGTTCTCAGCTTTCAAGTGATGGTTTGGATTTGTGTTGTCCATATTTTAGGTATCATGCCTTCACTGAAGCATGCACTGAAAATTTCTACTGTTGTTCTTGTTATTGCAACAACATTGGCTGCTGGATCTGGATTGGGCTTCATTATCTTGTGCTGTCAATCAGAAAAGAAAAAAATTAGTAAGTATTTCAGCTCATTTCCCTTGAATCTTTGACAGCATGTAAATAGCAAATAAACCTAAAATGTGCTTAATTTCTTCTATGTATGAAAACGTAGGTGACGGAGTGGAGTTGAAGGCAAAAAGGTATGTGGTCTTACGCCTGTAGCAGGATACTTCAGTTATCTTCACTATATGTCAGTTTTCATGTTCACATCTGATTAGATTTCTCTGAGAAATTCCAAAGCTCCTGGGCATCTTCAGTATTCCAAGGCCAACATTTCCCAACCTGGGCTCCTAACGCCAGGGTCTGAAATCCATATGGAGGCACCTAAATGAGTGACCCGATTTTCTTTCATTAGTGCAGAGCGGCCAGCAGCTCCTACTGATGTCAGTAGAACCTGTGTTGCTTTCTTATAAGAACATAAGAATGGCCATACTGGGTCCGACCAAAGGTCCATCCGACCCAGGATCCTGTCTACAGACAGTGGCCAATGCCAGGTGCCCCAGAGGGAGTGAACCTAACAGGTAATGATCAAGTGATCTCTCTCCTGCCATCCATCTCCACCCTCTGACAAACAGATGCTAGGGACACCATTCCTTACCCATCCTGGCTAATAGCCATTAATGGACTTAACCTCCATGAATTTATCCAGTTCTCTTTTTAAACCCTGTTATAGTCCTAGCCTTCACAACCTCCTCAGGCAAGGAGTTCCACAGGTTGACTGTGCGCTGAATGAAGAAAAACTTCCTTTTATTTGTTTTAAACCTGCTGCCCATTAATTTCATTTGGTGGCCCCTAGTTCTTATATTATGGGAACAAGTAAATACCTTTTTCTTATTCACTTTCTCCACATCACTCATGATTTTATATACCTCTATCATATCCCCCCTTAGTCTCCTCTTTCCCAAGCTGAAAAGTCATAGCTTCTTTAATCTCTCCTCATATGGGACCCGTTCCAAACCCCTAATCATTTTAGTTGCCCTTTTGTGAACCTTTTCTAATGCCAGTAGATCTTTTTTGAGATGAGGGGACCACATCTGTATGCAGTATTCAAGATATGGGCACACCATGGATTTATTTAAGGGCAATAAGATATTCTCAGTCTTATTCTCTATCCCTTTTTTAATGATTCCTAACATCCCGTTTACTTTTTTGACTGCCCCGCTGCACACTGCATGGACGTCTTCAGAAAACTATCCATGATGACTCCAAGATCTTTCTCCTGATTAGTTGTAGCTAAATTAGCCCCCATCATATTGTATGTGTAGTTGGGGTTATTTTTTCCAATGTGTATTACTTTACATTTATCCATATAAAATTTCATTTGCCATTTTGTTGCCCAATCACTTAGTTTTTGTGATATCTGATGATGATGATACGGATCTCCTTGGTAGTCCTTTGAGATCTTCTGATGAGGCCTTTATTATTATGACTCCCATGCCAATGCCCTATCCACCAGATCCTGTTGCTTTAACTTATGTTAAATACTGATCGGCCTTTCCTTTCTCTCTCTTCCTCTCTTTCCCAGCTCATTTTAGTATCAAACTCCTCTGGGTTTCTCTTTAGCGGATGGGCTACTCCACCTCATGCTGGTATGAAGCAACTTTCACCCCAGGCCTCTCAACAAAATACAGAGCTTATTCCTAGTATGGCATGGAGGTCCCGTAAACCTGCCCCACTTCCAGATTTCTTTTTAATTACACGCATACTAGGCTATAACTATGTCCTCACTTCTTTACAAAGTGAGAGGCATGGGCACAGCAATATTTTAAGGTCCTTTCCTCTTTAATTCTCCTATAACTGACTAATAGATTGGGAGGTCTGTAACTAATTAGGCTGTGTTAATAGAAGTTCTTTTTAATATGAACTGGCACCACTCTCCTCTTGCGTGTGTGTGTATACTGAACTATCTCCATTCATCCCTTTGATAAACGGGATCTCTTCTGAGCTGCAAGGTTTTGCCTTATTTTAGAATCTGGTCCAACCTTTTCAGCACTTGAGGCCACATGCTAGTTTTGGGGCACCTCCACGGGCCATATATGGACATATGAGCTCTATAAAATGGCATCTTCCATGCAGCATGACCTTGCGTGTACAGTGCATGCAAGGTCATGCTGTGTGGAGGATGCCATTTTGCTCTACATGATCATGGATCATGATCTTGGATAGAGGACACCATGTTGTACAGCAGGTCCACTGGCGATGGGGGTGGTGATGTCACTCACTAATGTATCTGTTGCTTTCGTAGCAGGAGAGCTGTGGAGATGGCCTGTCGTATTCATCCATGGGCTTGTGTGTGTCTCAGCCATCCTGATGTTCACTGCCGCTGTCTTCTGGATATGGGAAGAAGGTAGGCCCACCTTGGTTCTCATACTAAAGGGTATACATGCAGTGAACGAAGCAGATGGAACAGATTGCAGAAGGAAACATACTCTTAGTCAAAGGAGCAGGTTCAGCACTAGACACAAAAAGCAAAAGCACCTTATTAATCTCATACCTGGAAGATTCAGAGGCAGGATGTCACCCTGTCGCTATAGCATGGGTTATATGGACTATAGAATCATAAAATCAGCAAAAGGGGAGAAAGGGCAGAAAAGGCAGGAGGCCACTGTACATATCCGAGATGGGAGATTTGAAATTAAAGCTCCATACAAATTAAAGCTCTAACCAGCACTTACTTCCAGAAGATGGCAACCACTTTTTCATCCCGAGGTGCCTCCTTTATCTTACTGCAGCCAATGATCCAAACTTTTCCAAGCTGTTTCCGTAACATAGATGGGGCTACATGAGGGTATAAATCACAGCACTCATAGGCCCCTCCCATGTCCTGAAATAGAGTTAAAGAGCCACTAGTAAATAAACCTGGCTTCCCCGCTGGGGTAGAGAGATATGCCCCTAAGATAAGTGCCCAGGTCTCCAATTTTATTATAAAAACCAGAAGGAAGGAAGGACGAGAGAGAAAATCAGTTCCAGCCCTTCCCATGTTGCCGTTCTGGCCCCAAAGCAGGACAGTATCAATATTCTGGTCAGCACTTAAACACAACTTCAAACGTGCACTTAAATCCCACTGAAGTAATCGGGACTTAAACTTGTATCTAAAGCTAAATATGTGCCTAAGTCCTTTTGTAAACTGGCATCTCTCTGACCCCTTCCATACCACCACACCTGCTTGGGACCCCCATTCCTTAAACCTGCACCGTGGTCATGCCACACAATTAATAACAAGGAACTTTGGTTCTGTCAGTCCCTTATTAGCTTAAACAGACTTTTAAAGATAGATTAACGTTTTTTCAATAACTTTTTTTCCCTTGTTACATCCCTGCAGGGTGGAATTAAGGTGGGTTGGGTGCTTTAACTGTATGTTTCCACACTCTATCGTGTTTGGTTGATTTACGTCTAGCTTTAAGTAGGAATCTCTTGGGTCTATAAAGCTTTTGAGGATGGGATGTTTATTATGATACATATTCTCATCCTTAACTCCAGCTGAACATGTTTTGGCTGGCAGTTATTAAACCACAATGAAACAGAATTAACCAAAACAGCCCTTCTGTCATCATAACTAAGACCCAGTCCTGCTACTACTCCATCTTGGCAGACCTCCAAGGGGACTCCTTGTGGCTGCAGGGGTCTGCCCAGGCAGAGTGATTTGCAGAAGCAGAGCCTAACTGTAGGTACAGCAATTCTAGTTTCATTCCATATTTCTCCACAGGTCTCACCACAGCCCTTGTATTGTATATGTTTTTCCTCACATGGGTGATCATGGTAACACTTCTCATAAGTGTGGTCTTGGCAATTTGTCCCCAACACCTTGGGATATTTAAAAAGAAAACAAGTAAGTAATAGGTTATTTGTGCATGTACCTATATATTTGTGACATTTAAGAAAAGGTTAGACAAACATCTGTCCGGGATGGCCTAGTTGTAGTTATTCCTGCCTCAGTGCGGGCAGATGGACAAGAGGATCTCAAGGCCTCTTCCAGCCCTACACGTCTATGATTCTCAGAGTGAGTGGTGTAGCTGTAACGTATTGTAGCGATTATCATTGGTTACACGATACATTTCTTGAAATGCTGAGCTTTGTTGGCACAGTTGGCCTGAAGCATGACAACTAGACTCCCACAGTTAGTGGCCTTAGGCCTGTTTTTTTCCAATTCCAATTGTCCTCATATGCGCTTAACACTGTGCTCTACCTGTGGAAGGTAACAGACTTCTGCGTGCCCACCAGAGATGCTAGGTACGTACTCAGGCCGATTTGCCTCTCCCACGGCTGCGTTACTACTTTTGTCACGGTAGCGCAATGAGAGCTAGTGTAGGTCTGTCTCCTCAAGTTGGGAATCTCACCTCCAACTCAGAGTGTAGACGTAGCCTATATGTTGAGGGCGAAGTTTTGGCTGTCCGTGAGTGTGGCTAAAGGGAGAAGAAGGAACAAGGAAAATTTCCCCCCCAACCCCCCATCTTTAAAGGAGCCAGACGCAATACTGACCCAGCAATAAGCTGTGCAGTTGGCTAGCGTGCCTGCAGAATCCCATAGCCAGCAGGACTGTGACGCTGCAATTTCTCTCCTTATTCTTCTAGCACCCTTTGTGTGGTGTAAGTATAAACCCGCTCATTTCATGCATATTTTAAAGACTTTTAAAACAAATCTCACTGTTACAGCATAACACCTCCTGAGCAGCTGCTAGTATTTGGCAGCAGATGAAGTGCACTTTGTACCTTTCCCCCTTGCTGGCTGATACTTAGTAACGTTTGCCCATAACTGCTTTGCCTTAAAATGTTAAACAAAGAAAACATATGTACAGAGCGCTTAACATCACATAAAATGTTACAAAACTCAATAAACCATTGCAGACCTGTTAACTCCTGTTGATACTTGCTGCACTGAAGTCTCATGAGCGAGCGGAGACTCACCATGGGTCACCTCTAGAATCAGGTTTCAAAGGCTTTTGCAATTGAACAGAAAGCAGGAATGATTCTATATACAAAGAGAAGAAAAAAACAATCTCGATCTACATTCAATTGTGTCAATCAAATATGGCAGCATTTTATTATTTCTTTTCTCTTTCCAAGTGTACTGCGTCATTCTGGATACTGCAGCTCTTGGGGGAGTGATTCTGGTTGTGGTGTTTGCCATCTTCCTTATACAGAACATCCAGCAACTCCAAAGTAAGCCTCCGTCCTTCACGGATTAAAATTTATACTGTGTGTTTTCCTGCAAAAATGCATTTTTTTAAAAAAGGGAATTTATTTATATTTGGTGCAAAATAGAGATTTCAAGTTCCCCCTGCAGCCCAAGAGGCTGAGAATCTCCATAGCACTAAATACTACAGGGAACTTTGGGCATAGCGTGTCCTCCCCATCTCCAGCCCTGTCCCCGGCCAGCCTTCTACGCCAGGGCTTGCAAAGAGGGTGTGGTGTTCTGTCCCATTTAGTGGCACCAAGACCTCTCAGAGAGAGTTAAAGCCAGGCGGCTTTTAGCTCACGTGGTAGAGTCTCATGCACGAAGCTCCAGAGGTCCCTGGTTTGATCCGAATGACCAGAGTCTGTTGGTGTTACATATGCACTGCTGCATCAGGAGAATTCTTCTCTGCCAGCTGCAGGGCTTTTACAGCCCCCGAGTCCCGGCCCTTGTGAAACTTTCCCCGAGCAAATAAACTAGTGACATGGTGTTTCATTCCTTTCTTCTTTTGACCTCCAGGACAAGGCTGCTCACCATTTTTTGACAGCAGAGCTGCCACCCTTATCTCTGCTGCAATTTCTCTCCTTATTCTTCTAGTGTCCTTTGTATGGTGTAAGTATCAACCCTGCTCATTTCATGCATATTTTAGAGATTTTTAGAACAAATATCACTGTTACAGCATATTGCACCATCCATTTTAAATATTCCTTATTTCCTCTGGGAGTTATAGAGAAAAAGGATAACTTTATAAAGTAAATTAGAAGGCAAGGGGAAGTAGATGAACTATACAGCCCATCTACCATCATTTAGTGCGAGGTGGAATAACAAATATCTTTTTAACTTGGAATCTTCTTTGGGGTTAAAATTATAAATATATTTTTATACATATCTCAGGCCTCCCCTAAAGTGAGATTCACCCCATGCAGAGCTAGCAGCAGGGTCTGTGTGTCACCGATGTCCCACTTACGCCCTGTAGCTCTAACTCCCAACTATTCCCAGAGCTGGGCAGTCCAGGCTTTTTCCTTCACCTTCGCTCCTCACAGCTCCTTCTGCTTACACCCTCACTCCTCCATGCCTCAATGCAGCACAGTAGGCAGGGGTAGGAGGCCAGTACAGCTGCTTCCCAGTCCTAAGGCAGCACATTTCACCCCCAGGAAGAGGCCATGGCATGAGGGAGATAGAACCAGTAATTACAAAGCAAGTCTGGGAGAGAAAGAACTGAGGGGAACACTGGATCACGGTGGGAAGAGCCAGCTGATGGGCAAAGAGAGGCAATAGCGAAGGGGAAAAAAGAGGTTGGTGACAATTACATGGTGTGCTGGTGCTGTTGGTTATGATTTCCTTTGGGAGGGACTAGGAGAGATTGCTGTTGATCCTGTTGTGATGGGAGGGGTCGGATCCCTTCCAGCACAAAATGATTTTATTGCCAGAGCTGCTAATACATGTTTGTATGATGATATAAATCCTCTAGCTTCAAAGCATATAGACTTCATTTTATCGGAACAGGGAAATAATAAAGGAGACGCAGGCAAATATGACTTTGATTACACCAAAATGCCAAAAACAAATCACTTCAGCCATACCTCTTCTTTACAAAAATGTTTTGCAAATTTTACTGTTTTCTCTAGTATTGCGGAAAGACAATAGTCTCCTGGAATTTGGCTCAGAGAACCACGCTCAGATCCCATTTTCTGAAGGGTTCTAGTTTCAATCTCATACCATAGAGGCTCCAGTGACTTTCTCGGTGTAACATCTTTTCTTTCCACTGGGTTTGATGTTTATATAAAACACTAAGCAGGGGTTAATCTGTCTATGCTTTCCAGATCACAGGAAGAAAAAAAGCCAAGGAAAGGATCAGCAAGAAGGACAGCATGCAGAAGTAAGGATGCAGTTGTTATATCAATAAAATAAAAACCAGCAGGATCTTATTAAAGGGGAAAAGGGAAAATGCCACATTTATTGTGAATACAGAAAGAATCATAGTAAGCAGTTAGTTATAGCTATAACATTCCATTCAATTTCATATTTATTCACACATTCATTCATACACACACACACACACACACACACAGGTTCTGCAAGGTTGTTATCATAGTTACCAGCCTTAGAGTTGCTCATGCCAAGCCACTGGCCAGTTGGCCTGGACATGAGGAGGGAGCAGGGCCTTGTCAGATGCTCATCTGATGCTCCTGGAAGTTGGTTTGCAGAATCAGACCCCAAAGTTCTCACTTTTTAGAGTCCATTTTTATAGGAATTTCTTCCTATGCCAGTCTATGGGAATTGCTTCATCATGCTGTTGCTGAATCAATCAGCAGATGATGGCTCCGTGCTGCCAGATGTTATCTTGTTCTTTGCTTCTCCCGTTCTTGAGGTTGTTGGGTAGATTCCAGTCTGCCCTCCGGGGGTCCTCTGGTTATTTCCACTTGATGCCTTCTTCAGCCGAGGGACACTGGATTCTTAGGCTGGCAACTCCCTGATCATTCAATTATTATCCACACCAAGCATCCATCCACATACATCCTCTATCTCTATTTTAATCACAATTGTTAACAAAGCGAGATGAATACAACAAAAGGGCGGGGAGTCTCTGGGTGCTGTTTCTGTTGTTACAGCGTATTGCTTTGAGTCTCTCTCTCTGTGAGTAGTTGTTGTTACAAAGAATTGCTTTGAGAGCAGACTCTGTCTTAGAATGTACTAACACAATTAGCAGCTTGCAAGTTTCACACATAGAGGGAGAGAAACAGTATCAAAAACCAAGAGACCTCTTAATTAGTAATACCCTGTAATTTAAACTATGGGGAATCAAACTCATTTGTGATTTTAATACAGAATTTTTTTAATATCCATAAACCTGGAAATCCTGGATGCCCCATCATCTCAGGCATTGGCACCCTGACAGCAGGATTGTCTGGCTATGTAGACTCCCTCCTCAGGCCCTACGCTACCAGCACTCCCAGCTATCTTTGAGACACCACTGACTTCCTGAGGAAACTACAGTCCATCGGTGATCTTCCTGAAAACACCATCCTGGCCATTATGGATGTAGAAGCCCTCTACACCAACATTCCACACAAAGATGGACTACAAGCCGTCAGGAACAGTATCCCTGATAATGTCACGGCAAACCTGGTGGCTGAACTTTGTGACTTTGTCCTCACCCATAACTATTTCACATTTGGGGACAATGTATACCTTCAAATCAGCGGCACTGCTATGGGTACCTGCATGGCCCCACAGTATGCCAACATTTTTATGGCTGACTTAGAACAACGCTTCCTCAGCTCTCATCCCCTAACGCCCCTACTCTACTTGCGCTACATTGATGACATCTTCATCATCTGGACACATGGAAAAGAAGCCCTTGAGGAATTCCACCATGATTTCAACAATTTCCATCCCACCATCAACCTCAGTGTGGACCAATCCACACAAGAGATCCACTTCCTGGACACCACGGTGCTAATAAGCAATGATCACATAAACACCACCCTATACCGGAAACCTACTGACCGCTATTCCTACCTACATGCCTCCAGCTTTCATCCAGACCACACCACACGATCCATTGTCTACAGCCAAGCTCTATGATACAACCACATTTGCTCCAACCCCTCAGACAGAGACAAACACCTACAAGATCTCTATCAAGCATTCTTACAACTACAATACCCACCTGCTGAAGTGAAGAAACAGATTGACGGAGCCAAAAGAGTACCCAGAAGTCACCTACTACAGGACAGGCCCAACAAAGAAAATAACAGAACCCCACTAGCCATCACCTTCAGCCCCCAACTAAAACCTCTCCAATGCATCATCAAGGATCTACAACCTATCCTGAAGGACGACTCATCACTCTCACAGATCTTAGGAGACAGGCCAGTCCTTGCTTACAGACAGCCCCCCAACCTGAAGCAAATACTCACCAGCAACCACACACCACACACCAGAACCACTAATCCAGGAACCTATCCTTGCAACAAAGCCCATTGCCAGCTGTGTCCACATATCTATTCAGGGGACACCATCATAGGGCCTAATCACATCAGCCACACTATCAGAGGCTCGTTCACCTGCACATCTACCAATGTGATATATGCCATCATGTGCCAGCAATGCTCCTCTGCCATGTACATTGGTCAAACTGGACAGTCTCTACGTAAAAGAATAAATGGACACAGTAGAGGGAGAAAAGGAGTACTTGTAGCACCTTAGAGACTAACCAATTTATTTGAATGATTGAAACTCTCATCAACTAACATTTCTGAAAGTAGAGGGAGAGAAACAGTACCAAAAACCAAGAGACCTCTTAATTAGTAATACCCTGTAATTTAAACTATGGGGAATCAAACTCATTTGTGATTTTAATACAGAACTTCTTTAATATGATCCAACACTTTACTCCAGAAAATATTTTCACTGGACTTTGAAAATATTCTCATTGGTTCCCCACAGTACAACAAAAACTGAGAGATCCCTCAATTCAACCAGAACTTTTTTGAGCTTCCAATACTTCAAAACACTTTACAACTGCTTGTGTAAATATATAGAGTTACACACACACAGGACTATTGTTTAACATTTCACAGTAAAACACCACATCTCTTTAGGCCAGGCAGGGAAGAATTTCACATGCAATTGAAAAGCTGAGACTTTCTGGAAGCAAAATGTAATGAAATAAGAACGGACTGCAGCCAGGATGGTGGGATCTGCTGCTTTTCCAGTGGCACTCTGCATTTTTCATGACCTGGCAGAGAGGAGTTCTGAATTTTCATCTGCTCTGGATGACAAGGCATCTAAGAACACAATGTCTCCAATGCCATGCCTGGCCATCAGTGCAATTCTGACATCAGGTTAGATTGTAGAGGGTGGTAATACTCGATTTCTTGCCCAGCCCCCTGCAATTCAGCAATAGCCTCTTCGTCTTGGAAGGAATTGTATCTCATACAGAAACACCAATGCTAGTTCTGGCTGCACCTGTTTTCTTCCTGGAGCTGCTCTCATCAAGAACTCTTGTTCCCTCTGCTGTCCGAGGAAGTGTCATACATAGGCTCCTGGAAGATGTCCCTTTGTTGTCCAGGCCTGGAGGTCAGGTGTGAAGAAATCAAAGGTGCAGCACAGGAGAGCAATTAACACACAAAAAATCATATTGCATTATCAGAAAGAGATTAATTTGATTTGCCGCCAAACTATGCTGTCACCTTCCTGTGATATTGTTAGTGACAAAATTAACCTAAAGGGTTTTAAAACCATGCACTGAAAGATATCAGTATTTTTTAAATATATGAACTCAATTTAAAAGATAAAACTACTTCTAAAACAGCAATATAAATATAATCCAAAGCAAGGAACGAACAACTTATTGAATTAAGAAATAGTGCTTATGGTGCCAAATTTGATTAAATGTCAAAGGATAGCTGAGGCATTGGATAAATTGCAAGTTCCATTCACCTAAAAGTTTAGGGCTTGAGATTGCTTCCTGTTGGAGAGATATTAACTGAATCCTGGCTTGGGCTAAATACATTTCAAACTTGAATATTATGCAGTCAACAGGTAGCAATCTCAAATTATTACAATTTATTATACTGAGCTATACTCTTTTCTCTCAAACTAGCGCTCAGCGTGGCTATTGTGAATCCTTCTGCTCCAAAATCTCTGCTCATGTACTCCTACAACACGGGACACCCCCTAATCCCAAACTTCCTGATATGTTAGCCAATTTTTTCCAATCAGATTACAGAGAACTACACCAATGAGAGATGAATACAGTTGTGGCTCAGTCCCAGGGCTCCCTAAGTTGCTGGAATAATTCTAGCTCATCATAAAGACTCACATTCAAACCGCATTATTACATAAATAAATGCAAAAGGTACATTGAAAATGGTACATATTGTATTAGAGAATAATAACGCTGAAGTGTTAGAATCATTCAGAAAGAAGTTGGTCCATAGAGCTGTTCTGTGAAATATGTTTTGTTGAGTTACTCCCCGTCCTTGTTTGTTCCCAGGACTCACTGGAGAGCAGAGGTGTTAGTTAACGTGAAGACAGTCTTTTGAAATTTCCTCTACCTTTCTCTCTTAGGAATTTGTTCCTATTACCACATCCCCATATAATCTTATGGCCAGATCCCCGACAGTGGCTAAATTCTGCTCAGAATAACTGAGGGGAGTAGGCAGGAAAAGTGGCTCTAATCCCCCTTTCAACTCCCGTGATCCTGTAGGATGTTGGGGGATATTTTGGTCCTTGGCATAAGTTAGAGTGGCATAAGGAATGGCTTTAAATTATACCAGTAAGAATTATGCCCCTACAAGTGCAGGTTAAGATACTGGCACAATAGATACACGCCAAAGGGCACAGCTCCTGAAGTCACCTGATAACATCAGAATCTTAGCAGTTGTATTTTAAAAAACAGATGTCTATCCCTCATGGTTGTGAAGAAGAGCTTGAAACATGAGTCTAGTGTAACTGATACAGTGATGCCTGCCTGAGTTTGCAGAGAGCCTATAACCATAGGCCTGTGGACTTGTCTAGATGAATAATCAGTTAGTGGCAAGTTAGGGCATAAATCTATCCCACACTAGCCTGCTGGCCATCAAGTGTCTGTGCAGACCGTGCTACTGCACACTAAAATTTCCGTGGTGCCCATTGACCTACTCAGGTTCCAAAGCAGAGTACCCCAAAGCACTCCAGGGAACTGTTAGTGAGCAACCACAGGGTCCATAGGGACCATTAGTGTTTGGCCAGCTAGCAAAAGCTAGGATCACACCCCAGCTTGCTGTGCACTAACTGTTTGTCTAGACAAGACCTGACAGGCATGAACTGCCCCGTTCATCTCAGTGGAGTGTTAACTCTGAGATCCACTGTTCTTGTGCTGACATCACCCAAGGGTTCCGATGTGCAGGGGGCCCCTTGTTGTTGCCACCTTTCATGGTTCTGGGGGCGATGGCAAGGCCTTCATACTCAGGATATATGCTTGAGTGGGTGGGGAATGAACCTTCCCTCATGCAAGGTAGGCCCCAGAGGGAGTGGTGATCCAGGGACTGAGGAAGCTGTATCCTGCCAGAAGAGGAGATGTAGTGGGCTCTCTACCAGCCCAGCAGATTGCTCTTGCTTGAGTGACACCTGCCACTGTTAGCTCAAGTAGGGTCAGGGGCATGGTGGGACTCCAAAGGGACCTGAATTGCCTTAATATGGCTTTTATCCCCTAGAGCCACTCTGTCAGCCAGGGATCACTGGAGCACAAGGTGCTCCAGCCCCATCCCCTCCTGCCATTTTCATCACCTTAGGTGGAGCAGGTGGCAGAGAACTGGCCATCCCAGCTTTTAAAAGACCTGAGGATTCTTCTACATCTGAGGAAGCCCCACCTGGCACTTCAGGACAGATTTCTGATGTGGGCTGCTCCCTGAACACCACAAATTGGTGGAACGAGAGCTATTTATGGTATCTTTAGTGCATGGTTTTTCTTTGTGTTCATGTAAAGGCTGTAATGTGTATCATGATGACAAATTTTATTTATTCTTATTCTAGGTTTTACAGTCCTTGAATGGCCAGAGCTGCAGAACTGACCAGCCAGCAAGCATGGTTGAAGGGACATCTGAGCCAAAAGTTAACATAGCAGAATAAATTTCAAACATTTTCATTGCTTTTCCTATGTAGGATATGTTAGGATATAGATATTCAGGCCTGTCTGTAAAGGCCTATACTTTAAGAATTTAGGTGTGTTCTTATCACTTGGCTAGTTATAGAGGTATAAAAGAAAGAAAGAATCAAAATCACTGTCCGATGGTGTAAGGGCTTTCTCTTACTGTGACAGTCTGAGGCCCTGTTTTTAGGTTAAGGCCTTTGGCTAAGCAGCAGAGGCAGCCATAAGCTGGGAAGCGAGAGGTCACATCCTCACATTCCAAACTAGTCACATTGAAATAAGGTGCTATTGGGCTGTTAGGAAAACAATCCTGTCCTGATAGTGCCTATCACCTCCAGAGAAAGGGAAGTGCCTAGAAGATGTAAAAGGAAACTTAGTTTGATAGCATCCTGTCTGGCAAGAACTCACTTATCAATAGCTAGGATGTGAAATCCTTATTTCTGTGTTTGTTCTATCACTGTAATCCCCATTTCCCCATTGTTTGTCTGTATAATCTCTGTCTGGTTCTGTGATTGTTTCTGTCTGCTGTATAATTCATTTTGCTGGGTGTAAACTAATTAAGGTGGTGGGATATAATTGGTTAAATAATCATGTTACAATATGTTAGGATTGGTTAGTTAAATTTCAGGAAAATGATTGGTTAAGGTATAGTTGAGCAGAACTCAAGTTTTCCTATATAGTCTGCAGTCAGTCAGTCAGGAAGTGGGTGGGTGGGGGAAATGGGAACAGGGGTCGGGAAATTGGAATCACGTTTGGCTAAGGGCAGGAATGGGAACAGGGACACAGGTGTAAGGCTCTGTGGTGTCAGAGCTGGGAATGGGGACACTAAGGAAGGAAACTGGAATCATGCTTGCTGGAAGTTCACCCCAATAAACATTGAATTGTTTGCACCTTTGGACTTCGGGTATTATTGCTCTCTGTTCATGTGAGAAGGACCAGGGTAGTAAGTAGGTGAAGGAATAAGCCCCCTAACAGATAGAGTTAAATGAGGCTCCAGAAGCTGAAAGCCAGGAATGAAAGGTATGTATCCTCCAGGTCAGTGGTTCTCAGGTGGGATTACAAGGCAGTATTTAGTGTATCAGAGCTTAGGATGCACCATGGTTTCTGTTTAAAACTGACTTTTTAGTGCTCCCTCCAAACAAAGGTACAATGATCTGCTTGAAATTTGGAATGCTCATTCAAGACCCAGGGTACAGTTTGTAATATAGATTTAGAGTCTCGTAGCCATGTGTTTGTGACATACAGCCACCCTCAAAACAGGACCCATGAAAATAAGCTAGTTTTTGTATGTGAAGAGATACCTGGAGGGAAGGTGATCTCTCCTCCCCCAAGAATACTTTGTTGCCTAGAACAAAGTCACTTACTGTAGGAGGAGGAATAGAATCTAGAGGTGAGAACCTGGCTCTGTTGAAGTCAAGGGGAGTTTTGCCACTAGGTTCAGGATTTCACCCTAGGTCTCTGCTAGGGGCAAGTCTACACTAGAGTGCTACATGGGTGCAGCTGCACTGATGCAGCTATAGCAGATCTGGTGAAGATGCGCTATGCCGACAGGAGAGCGCTCTTCCATCAGCATAATTACTCCACCTCCGTGAGAGGCGGAAGCTATGTTGGTGGGAGAGCATGTCCCACTGACACAGTGCTGGTATGGACAGTGCTTAGGGTACCCTAATTTGCGTGTCCGGGGATGTGTGTCTTTTTCACACCCCTGAGCGATGTAAGTTACAGCAACTTAAGCAGTAGTGTAGACAAGCCCTATGACACACCTAAGCATTATTCTCACAGCTAGAAAACTTTAAGAATGTGCCAAATCACTGTGCTTGACTGCATACACTCACCAACAAAGCACCGAGAACACAGAGCTGAATTGGCCAAATTAATAATTACATATGATGTGTAGTGCAGCAAACAAGGCAAAGGCCTGCAGGAAGAGATGGTTAGAGCAGTGGCCTGGGATCCACAAGAGCTGGGTCCTGTTCTGGGCTATATCACAGGTTTTCTATAGGACGCTGGGGAAGTTAAGCCGGCACTTTGAAAGTTGTTGCTGTCCCGAGGTGAGTGTGGAGAGCTACCCTGCCCCCACAATCACTGTGATATTCAGGAAGGAAGATGGCTGTGTGTTTAAGACACTGGATTAGGACTCCAAAGATCTGTGTACAACTCTGGGCTCTGCCACAAACTAGTTCAGTGACCTTGATGAAGCCACGTGGGGCCTGATTTTCCAAAGCGCTCAGGGGGTTGGCTGCAGAGCACTTTGCAAGTCTGGCCTTCAATTAGGTGCCTCAGCGTGAGCTGAACTCCATGGAAAATCTGGCCACAATTGTTGGTGCCACGTACTTGAAAATCTGGTTCTTAATCTCAGTGCCTCAGTTTTCCTATCTGTAGGCTATATTGGTGTTTCAGGGGCCTGCCCATCCTATGAGATTCATTTGGAGTTTAGGAGCCAGAGGGAGTTATGCTTGACTAAAAATTGAAAAAGCACGCTCAAGAACACAGCCCCAACCTCAAGGATCCCCCTCCAGCAGGCTGCACCATGACAGGTGAACCTGCAATACTTTCCCTTTGGACCAGCCATAAAAGGAACACAGTTTCCCTTAATATCCAATTAAAAAGCCTACTTCTAGGCATAACTTCTTCCTGTACAAGTTCAACAGGCAACAGAATGCTCCTGATCACACCATTCTCCCCAGATACAACAGGTTCACAGCAGTTTTCCTTGCCCCATCCTGGGACATCATTTCCAGCTCATCTTCCCAAGAGGGTCTTTAAGCAGTCTGTCCCTAGACTTTCTGCCCTTGTTCCATGGCTTCGCTATCCAGGCCATCCACCTGAGCACACCCCGATTCACTTCTTGCCCATGACACATCTCCTGTAGCCCCATGTCAGGTCTCCCATGAAAGAACTCCAGCAGTGTACATTCCCCCAGGCCTCCTCCTCGTACGTCCTACCCTTACTGCTGGAATCTGCCCTCCAGCATCAACCCTTTTGTTCAGGCTCAGCTTCCCCTGACCACGCTGGTTCTCCTGCTTGATCTTAGGGGCCTTTACACAAACTCTCCTGTAAGTCAACAGGGGTTCCCCAGATCCGGCCAGACATCACCAAGAATGTTCTTTACGATGGTGCTCTCCTCTGTTGCTTGTTTCTCTCCAGGCCTCTTTTCCTCCCTCCAGAGTACTCACCTGTCCCTTTCATGACTGACTCCTCCACTGTCTCACTCTCTTCCCATTTATATGGCCCAGGTGCCTTCTCTTCAACCTACCTAGGGATCAACTGACAATCACAGATGAACTAGTCACTGCTCCCTCTTAAAGGTGCAAGTACCTGTGACAGAGCTCAGAATTTTGGAGGGTCATTCTCCATTAGTGACTGTATAGGGTGACCAGACAGCAAATGTGAAAAATTGGGACGGGGGTGGAGGGTAATAGGAGCCTATATAAGAAAAAGACCCAAAAATCGGGACTGTCCCTATAAAATCGGGACATCTGGTCACCCTGTGTTTGTAAGACATGAGATGATACAACTAAGAGGAGAAAAATACGTAGGGGACATTTGTGTATTTAGAAGTATTCAAGAATTTAAAGTGGCTAGGCCTGGTCATTCAGTAGAAGGCTGAGGCTTGCACTGAATAAACAACATGTTTCCACTTGGGGATCTCATGCCTTACATTGTAAAAGTTTGCTAAGCTGAGAACAAGGGCAAGGAAATGCATGTGTTGTTCAAAGCACTGTTAGGATATAGATATTCGGGCCTGTCTGTAAAGGCCTGTACTTTAAGAATTTAGGTGTATTCTTATCACTTGTTAGCTAGTTATAGAGGTATAAAAGAAAGAAAGAATCAAAATCATTCTCTTACTGTGACAGTCTGAGGCCCTGTTTTTAGGCTAAGGCCTTTGGCTAAGCAGCAGAGGCAACCATAAGCTGGGAAGTGAACGGTCACATCCTCACATTCCAAACTAGTCACATTGAAATAAGGTGCTATTGGGCTGTTAGGAATACAGTCCTGTCCTGATAGTGCCTATCACCGCCAGAGAAAGGGAAGTGCCTAGAAAATGTAAAAGGAAACTTAGTTTGATAGCATCCTGTCTGGCAAGAACTCACTTATCAATAGCTGGGATGTGAAATCCTCACTTCTGTATTGTTTTGTCATTATAGTTCCCACTTTGCTATTGTTTGTCTGTATAATCTCTGTCTGGTTCTGTGATTGTTTCTGTCTGCTGTATAATTAATTTTGCTGGGTGTAAACTAATGAAGGTGGTGGGATATAATTGGTTACATAATCATGTTACAATATGTTAGGATTGGTTAGTTAAATTTCAGGAAAATGATTGGTTAAGGTATAGTTGAGCAGAACTGAAGTTTTACTATACAGTCTGCAGTCAATCAGGAAGTGAGTGGGTGTATGGGTGGGGGAGATGGGAACAAGGAATGTGGGTAAGGAAATTGGAATCATGTTTGGCTAAGGGCAGGAATGGGAACAGGGACACAGGTGTAAGGCTCTGTGGTGTCAGAGCTGGGAAGGAGGATACTAAGGAAGGAAACTGGAATCATGCTTGCTGGAAGTTCACCCCAATAAACATCGAATTGTTTGCACCTTTGGACTTCGGGTATTGTTGCTCTCTGTTCATGCGAGAAGGACCAGGGAAGTAAGTGGGTGAAGGAATAAGCCCCCTAACAAGCACAATTTCCTGGTCACAGGCAGTAGTCTATATATTCTAGTTAAACTCCTTTACAATGTGCTTGTTGTTCTTTACAATGTAGTTCTACCTTGAAAATAGACTATATAAAAGTAGCACCTTTATTCAGCAGTTCTGCCTTTTTTCCCCTATAAACTGAGCACATTTGATAGGAAATCACTGAAGTTACGTCTACACTGCAATACCACCCCCCCAGTACCGTGTCACAGAGCCCAGCTAAATTGACTTGAGCTTGCGGGGCTACAAATAGCTGTGTAGACATTGAGAGTCTGGGCTCTGAGACCCAACCCTCTCATGGTGTTTCAGAGCCCAGGCTCCAGCCTGAGCCCCACGAGCCCAAGCCAGCTGAAGACATGCTGTGGGTCTTTTATTGCAGTGTAGATGTACCCTGAGAGTCAAAGTCACTTTTCAGAGTAGAATCATGTTCTGCTCACCATGCTTAATGTACCCCAGGGGCTGGTAATGGATTGATAGAAGGTACAAGATTTCACGGTTTGAGAATTTGGAAGATCAGGTGGGCAAAACCTCCAAACTACCTGTCAGCTTCACTGGCAAATGGGTTTAGAAGACTTATATAAAAGTTTTCTTCAGACTCCTTTCCAAATATTTTCTTCAGAATAAGTTTTTCATCTTCATTCTTTCTCTACTGAGGTAAATGAAGAATTCATTCCCCAAATTCATTCAGTCCTGATCTTTTTCACACCTTTCTCTCAACTGATCTCGATCAGGGTCAGAAATAGTCCAGTTTTCTCCAAAAGAATCTCAGTTTGAGCTAGAAATGGATCTGCAGCTTTGCTGCTCAAGCTTATGGTAAGTATGAGTGAGAGTGGGAGAATGTGTGTGTTGTGTTGGGACAGTTAGTTTGTGCAGGTAATAAATGAAGGGTGTATGCTGTGGTGAGGGGCTGTGTGTGTTAGTTGTGTTGATTTGTATGTAGAAAGAGTTGGGCTGGGAGATTTGTATTTTATACCCATGACATTTGGGCACACAGGTTGGGCAGCTGATCCACCTTCTGTGCAGTCTCCCTCATACAACCAATGAAATTACTGCATGCAAACTAGCTGTAGAATAAGGGTGGTGATTGGTTGGATTACCCTGATATCACAATGGTCTAGGACTCTTAGCATGGCACAGACATTCCATACTGTAGCTGTACACTGCACACGTAAAGTCAAAATGGCTGAGAACTTAAAAATGGGA